CTCTGCATAGCAAGGAAAAAATCAACAAAAGGAAAAGGTGGCCTAGGAATGGGAGAAAATATTTATACACCATGTATCAGACAAGTGGTTGATATTCAAAACATACAAGGAACTGATACAACTCAATAGTAAAAAAACAACCTAATTAAAAAACGAGCAGGGGCCAGCCTCATGGCTGAATGGTTCAGTTTGTGCGCTCCGTTTTGGCGGCCCAGGGTTTCACCGGTTCGAATCCTGGGCGCCGACATGGCACTACTTATCAAGCCATGCTGAGGCGGCATCCCACATGCCACAACTAGAAGGACCCACAACTAAAGATACACAACTATGTACTGGGGGGTTTTGGGGAGAAAAAGGAAAAGTAAAAAAATAATAATTTTTAAAAAAATCTTAAAAAAAAAAGGAGCAAAGAACCTGAGTAGACATTTTTCCAAAGAAGACATAGAAATGGGCAACAGGTACATGAAAAGATGCTCAATATCACTAACCATCAGGGAAATGCAGGTCAAAACCACAATGAGATATCACCTCACACTTGTTGGGATGGCTATCATCAAAAAGACAAGACATAACAAGTGTTGGTGAGGGTGTGGAGCAAAGGAAACACTTGTACACTGCTGGTGGGAATGTAAATTGGCACAGCCATTATGGAAAATAGTATGGAGCTTCCTCGAAAAATTAAAAATAGAACTACCATCTGATCCAACAGACCGACTCCTGGATATATATTCAAAGAAAATAAAATCACTGTCTCAAAGAGACATCTGCACTCCAATTTCATTGCAGTGTTATTTACAATAGCCAAGGTATGGGAAAAAACCTAAGTGTCCATCAATGGATGAATAGATAAAGAAACTGTGGTATATATTTACTGTATACAATGGAATATCATTTAGTCATGAAAAAGAAAAGACTCTGCCATTTGTGACAACATGAATGAACCTGGAGGAGGTTATGCTAAGTGAGAGAAGCGAGACACAGAAAGACAAGTACTGCATGATCTCACTTTGTGGAATCTAAAAACGTCAAACTCAGAACCAGAGAGCAGAGCAGTGGTTACCAGGAGCTGAGTGGAGGTGATGGGGAGGTGTGGTCAAAGGGTACAAACTTTCAGTTAGAAGATGAAGAAGTTCTGGAGATCTAACGTACAGCATGGTGACTACAGTTAATAATACTGTATTGCATACTACAAATTTGCTAAGAGAGTAGATCTTAAGTTTTCTTAGCACACCAAAAAAAAAAATAAAAGTAACTATGTGAGGTGATGGATGTGTGAATTAACTTGACTGTGGTGATCACTTCACAATGTATATGTATATCAAACCATCATGTTGTAAACCTTAAACATATACAATTTTTATTTGTCAATTATACCTCTATAAAACTGGAAAAAACTAGAGTATGAGTCATCAGTGTGATCTGGCTCCAGAAGTGATTCTAAAATATAGAAAGAGCTTCGAGTATGGAAAGGAGGTGAGGGGACTTGAAGCTGCAGTGGCACAGCAGACACAATGTCTTTAGCTAGCCTGTATGCTCGTTCAGGGTGGCTTGGGTTGGGGGACTGATGGAGATTAAGGTGGGCTAAATCAGCACTCCCATGATGCCACACTTGGTACTCCCACTGTCAGACAGCACACTTGAAGTCTTCATTAATAAAAGTATATTGTCCAAAAGGAGGGGATAGTCCTCTCTTGCCCGCTGGGCACCAGGTGCTAGAGGAGATAGATTAACCAGAGTTTGCCTGGAGAAGGATGGAGAGAATGGTAAAAGGATGGAAACTATATCAAAATGTTAGGAACTCATATGTGGAAGTTAAACTTGTAGACAATGAGAACAGGTTAGTGGTTACCAGGGGAAAAGGGGGTTAGGTGGTGGGCACAAAGGGTGAAGTGGTGCACCTACAACATGACTGACAAACAATAATGTACAATTGAAATTTGACAAGGTTGTAAACTATCATAATCTCAATAAAAAGTTAAAAAGAATGTTAGAAAACTGAGTCTATTGACAGAACTGAGAGCATTAAGTTTGGAGAGGGAGCACAGGGTCTCCCCGTGTAGAGGATGTTTCCACAATGTAAGGACTTTGTTTTTTGGTAAGGAAGATTGTCCCTGAGCTAATATCTGTGCCAATCTTCTTCTATTTTTGTACATGGGATGCTGCCACAGCATAGCTTGAAAGTGGTGTGTAGGTCTGTGCCCAGGATCTGAACCCACAAACCCCAGGCTGCAGAAGCGGAGCGTGTGAACTTAACTACTACACCATGGGCTGGCTCCCACAATGAAGGAACTTCGAAAACATACATTATCCCCAGAGGAGAAGAAATGGATGGCGAAAGGTTCGTAGACATTACCAGGACAACTGTACCCTCCTTCCAACCTTCATCACACTATCCCTTTCTGTTTGTGGGCAGTGTGGTGTGGTGATTGATAACTTGAACTCTGGAGCCAGAATGATTGGGTTTGAATCCTATCAGGGCCAGTTACTGGCTGTGTTGCCTTGAACAAGCCTCTTATTTTCTCTACATGCCTCAGTTTCCTCATTGGAATAATGAAGGTCAAAAATAGTTTCTAATAGAGCTGTTGTGAAGATTAAACAAGTAATATTGGTAAAGAGGCTACTGAGGCTAGAATAAGTGCTCAACAAATGTTAGCACTTGTTCTCTCACCGCCTCTTTGATTACTCCTTGTGTAGCGAGGGGCAGGACTGCCCACTGAATAACCCTGGAGGTTCTATCTGGGTTGCCAGGCAACAAGCTCTCTGGGACCAGTGGCTCCCCTTTCTTGAGCAGGAGGAGCTATACAGGATTTCAACTTCCCCAAGGGCAGTGGGTGCTCGCAGCTGACAGTCCAAGACAGCTCTCCGGAACAGCTGGCTCCTGAGCCTGGATCGTTCACAAGCAAGCTCTTGTGCTTGCTCAGTAAAAAGGTAGAGGAATAGGGAGTGCGATCCTTTCCTGGTACACAACCACGCTGGGCCCTGGCTCCTTGCACGCTTCTTGGTGGAAGGGACGAAAAGGTGGGACCATGAATCTTGTCTTGTTGACTATGGATTTCCCGTGGTCCCTGTCATGATCCTACGCGCCTACCAAGCTCATCTCAGATGCCCCCTCCCTCTTGTGAAGCTTTCCTGTGAGCCTATCTCCACCCACACTCTCAGAGCAGAGGTGTGTCCCTGGTTTATGGCACTTACATTGCATTGTGTTGTCATCACACAAACACTTGTCTAATTCTCTTCCTAATCAACATATATGCTTTTGAGGTCAAGGGCCATTGGTTAGAAGTAATTTACACAAAGTGGTACTGCATTGGCCCTCAGGAATATGCCTTCCCATTGCATTGAACAGGGGCTGATTTGCCTGAAAAGAAGACTCAGGGGACAAGGTGACTAGCTTTGTGTGCCTATAGGGCTGTCTGCTTTGGACATTCAGCAGAGCCCCAGGACAGAGCTCAGCTCTCTGCCTCTTCAGGGTGTCCTGGGTCCTCGTACAGGGAGAGCTCTCTCTGGGGAGTATGAGCTTTCTAGCACCTCTCCAGGATTTGGATAAGTCACCACTTTCTGCTTGGCTCTTCCCCCTTAGTTCTCTGGCTCTTTCAGCACCAAGCTCACACACAGATCCTGTGCAGCTCTTGCAAAAGAGCATGTCGGGCATTTGCTGCCATCTAGTGAAGGAAGCGTGGCTCAGCCTCTTGCTAAAGCCAAGCAGATCCTGCGCACTCCCCAGGAGCTGGTCCAGGAATCCAGCCCTGGTGAAAGGGGACCATCTGGGGGTGGACAGGTGTGTGTGGAAAGGGCCAAAGCTTCTGCACAGAATAGATCATATCCACGCCCCTAAATTGTAATCTGGAATGAGCAAGACCATATCCTTCTAGATCCTCCCCTTCCTCCAGCCAGGGAGGGATTCATTGCTACTGGAATGATGGCCAGCCGTCTTTTTGAGAAAACTTGGTAGGGACCTGTAAAACACCCAAAGTTCCTAACCAGAGGCATCTGTTAGGGAAGTCATAGGTTATCCCCAGTGCCTCAAGCAGAACTGGCCACGACTTTAGAACTGGTGATTTCACAAGGTGCTTGCAGCCCTGCATGTCTCAAAGGTTTCCTGGTTCGGGGACCACTCACTCCCCCTTCCTCAGCGTGGCACAAAGGCTCTGGCTCCACCAGGTGAGTGGCTACACACTTACTGGGTTACTGTGAGGTACAAATGAGATTATTCACGACAAATCCTTAGCCAGCGCCTGATACATGGCAACCGCTAAGTAAAAATTAGATACTGATAATGATTAGATAATGATATTATTACTATTTTGCCAATGCTCCAGGGTGCAAGGCTGCCTGCAAAACTCACGAAACTCAGGCCCTAGACATGACGACATCAAATTATGATTAAATCTTGTACACATTGAAAATAATCACCCCCTCAGCAAACCATAGCACCTGGTGCTGGCCTTCCTTCCACTGGACAGTGAGAAAAAGGTCACTCCAGGTCACTGATAGACACATCAGTTCCTCTAGCTTGTCTCAGGTACAGAATTCTAGGGCTATTTTTGAAGGGTTTTCCTCCAAACCCAGATTATTACAACGTAAATTCTTTGCCCCCAGTCCAGCCTGTTTTTGTTGGGCCTCTGGGCATCTCCAGTTTTTAGGGAGGTCCTGGGCTGCTCCTCGGGCCAATTCCTTTTGATAGGCCTAAGCTTTTCTCTGGGCTGCATTTCATGCAGACATTCAGCCAGAACTGAGCGTAGGGTTCACCAAATAGCTAAGGTCACCGGCTAACCAATATATGTATGGCCATGATGGGAGTATTCGCCACAGAAATCAGCAAGTGCCACAAATCATGGCTTTTTTTCTGAAGAGCCAATAGTTATACACTTATCAGCACACTACTGGCTCCCACCTTTAATTCCAAGCAAAGCACCACATTTAAACCACTACTTACACAACTACCAAATAAGAAGATTTTTTAGTGTACTATCTAAATGAAATGCACACTGAAAGTCTCATTCATTTATTTATTCACTTATTTTCCAAACACACATAACAGAGATTGTACCTGGTGGAAGGGTAGTAACTGACAAGTCAAGATCATGCCTTTAGGTTTGAAATAAACCCACAATATTTAATGTTGGTAAAAAATATCTGCAATAAGCTATTCATTTATTGGCAGTTTTTGAATTTTCACTTAGCTTGCAAAAGAGTTATATATAATAAGCCACACAGTTGTATTGGGGAAAACATCAAACAAAGGTATTGGGTAATGTATCGAGAAACATTTGGAAAAACACAATTTAAAATTTTAATATGTTTTTGTTTCTTATTCTTTTCTTTTGACATAATTTGAGCTGTGTTTCAATCCTAACATTAGTGTGTCCTCTACAGCCCTTTCCAGCGTCTTCTGCCTTTTTAAAACAGTACCAGTGGTTAATAGTCAGCCAGCCTTATCTTATATCTCTGTAAGAACCATTTGAAATGAACATTACAATGTCACTTCTTTTAGCCGGAGAAAAATGAAATGGCTAGTTCAGTGAGTCCACTGCTTGTTATTACACTGAGCTGTGGACCCCAGGAGCTCAGACTGGAGGTGAGGATATGAGGCTGTGAGGTAGGGGTGGAGGTGAGGGGCTCAGTCGTAGTGTACCTTGCCCTTGGAGGCAGAGTTGGACAAGTCCCCATTGCAGAGCATTTGGAATGGTGAAGGGGGCCTGTCTTCCAAAGCACACTTGGTTATCTTCAGCATGTACTTTCGAAAGGCCTTTTGAATAACAGCAGCACATCTTTCCTCTTCCTTCCTCTTGGTGGTGGTGACTATGGGTTCATATAACTTCTTGAAAGGGTTTGCTTCCATGAACTTCTCCTCCATCATTACTTTCATGCTGTCCAGGCCATTGGAATCACCAAGTACCCTAGTGGTGAAAGCAAAGAGAATATCCAGGCAGTGGAGGCGATCTCCACTCACCATGGGCAAATCCATTACTAGAAATTGAAATTTATTTGGCTTTGCCACACGCAAAGGCTCCGGAAGGGCATCCGCAAAGTCAGAAAGGGCAGAATATTTGATAAACTGTGTTGCTTCTGGGTCAAACTTTTCCCAGACTTCATAGAACATTTCAAAATCATCTTCACCCAAAGGGTCCTCACTTTCTTCAGTGGCTGTATTGAAGTTCTCTAAAATCACAGCAATATACATGTTGACAACAATGAGAAAGGAGATGATAATGTAACTGACGAAGTAGGTTATGGCTATGGTAGAGAGGTGACAGTTCTCTGAGTTGGTTTTACATGAATCTTTTGATTGCAGCATGGGGCTGAGGAGGGCATCCCAGCCTGCTGACGTGGTTATCTGGAAGAGACACAGCATGCTGCCTACAAAAGTTTCGAAGTTGAAGATGTCATCAATTCCAGACAGCCTCACTTTGCCAAAACAGCTCATACCAAAAATGGCATAAATAAACATAATCAAAAAGAGTAGAAGACCGATGTTGAATAGAGAGGGAAGGGACATCATCAGAGCAAAAAGGAGAGTCCTAATTCCTCGTGCTGCCCGAACAAGTCTCAGGACTCGGCCAATCCGAACCAAGCGGACAATTCTGAAGAGTGTTGGAGGAAAACGAATGTGCTCCTGTTTTTCTAAGGTGGAAACCATTGTACCTTAGGAGAAGGAGAAGGGTCAGTCAACTTCCAGCAGGCACACTGGTTTCAGACCCTGCCTGTCTCTCCTGCCTTGGAGTCTTAGTGGAACCAACTTTTCATCATGCACAAATTAAAAATTTTATTTATCAATATCTGGGAAAATATCTATCTGTGCCTTAACTTGGGAAATAATTTCCAAGGGCCATAGAACTTTAGATGGAACTTTAGATGGGATGGGATATCTAAAATATTGACGACACCTGAGGAAAGGAAAGAGAATGCAGTTTAAGGAAGACTTTTTTGTAAGTTGTCTCATGCACATTAGCTATGTTGGGTATCTAAAGTCATTCGTTGGGTAAACAAATATAATAGTTTTGCATATTGATTGGATATATAGATGGAAAACAGACAAACTGCAGATGGAGTCTTTTTTATTAAAGTGCAAGGAGAAATTTCTGCTACTGAAGGTTGGCTTGAGCCTGAGCTGTCAGCAGAAATTGTGGAACCCCTGACCATAAAGTTCCTTAAAGGTTCCTAGCTGTATAGAGGAACTTGAACACAGCCTGCTCCAGGCTAGGACACGGCTGCAGGGAGAGAGCGGTGCTGCGTTTCTCATCTCTGGGCTAAGGCTGTCATGAATCTTTCTTATTTGTCAATATATTCATTCCAAGGACTCCTGAAAACCGAACTCAAAGAGCATAAGGGACTAAATTGGAGATGTTTTCTCTGTTGCTGTAGACACCCCAGAAATGGTATCTCAAGCAGAAGTTTCTGCAAATAACTGAATATTTGGCTGAAAATGTCACCCAAGTGACACAAGGACTTAAAAGAACTCACATTTTGGCCCAAATATTACAGAATGGGTGAAACATGCTTGCCTTGTGTAGACATAACCTTGATGTTCCTCTAAGTCATTAGGGGTGACAAGTAGCCAAAACTATCTGCCATCACCTAACAACTAAAGAGAACTAGTTGATAATGTACTTCACAGACTGTCCACTTGTACCAAAGAAGTTTAATTCATATGTTAACTGGGCATCCAACCCTGCTGAGATGTGGAATTTATTAACTACCAATTCAGCAACAACTGGAGGAGGTCCAACCTTGAAGGCCTACCTCCTCCAAGAATATTTCTTTGAATAATCAAGTCCACGGTAACCTGTTCTTTCTCTAAGCTCAGTTCTGTGCACCATGAGATTTGGTGTTCAACTAATTTCTCTGCCTTCTTCTGACTCTTTAAGGTGAGTGAGTCGCCTTAATACCTGAATTGGATTGTTAGCTCCTAGAGAGAGATTCACTTTGACTCACACATTTTGTATTTCTCTAAAAGCTTAGGAAAGAGCTTGGGAAAGTATAGAGGCTAAGTGTTGGATGGCAAACCTAGTGGCAAAGGTATATAGAATGCTGTCCACATTGGTGAGTAGAATTTGGCTCAATGTGTGGATTTTCTTATCCATTGGAGCAAAATGCTATATGGTGTTCTTCAGTGGAACTGTAATTGCCTAGCAGTTGTTCAAAGCACAGAAGTCAATATTTCCACAAACTGTACAATACCTGGCACTGCCTGGAAGGAGTTCAATAAACAGAATGGAATGAATCAGAATAAATGGAATGAACGAGCTGCTCTCTGCCTATTGGAGGAAGGGCTCTCTAAGCTCTCAGAGGGCTGCCCCAGATTCATCCTACCACCATTTTCTAACTTCACTGCTGCTGTCAATTTCACCAGGACTTGTGATTGGAATTGACTAATAAAGATTAAAGGTCTGTTTAACTGCAAGCACATGGAAGGATCTGTTGCCAAACTTTGCCTACATAAACCTCATGGCCTAGAAACCAGAACAGACTATGACCTGTGCCATTTTCTTGCTCTCTGAAACATCTGCATGGCTGCTGTAGTGATAGGAACCAAAATATTTTGATCCAACATTATCTGTTTAATGCATCCTTTCTGGAGCTAGCACAAAAGCTTCCACTTGAGAAATCAGTTTTTATCACCTTCATTGCTTTCTGAACTATGAGAAGGGCCTCTGGGTAGTTTTGCACAGAGTAAACTCTTCTGGTTTAGCCATGAAGAATTTAATTTCAAAGTTGGTGTGTGTTTTGTAAAAAGATATATGGTAATAACTCATCTCTTTCTCTTTCTTCTTTCATAAACCTTATAGCTAATCCTGTCTATGGTTAGGAAAAATATACTGATTATAGAGTGAGGCTGGTTGAATGGGGTCTAGGCAATAGAAACAGGCATAGTTCACACTGTAGTTAAGTTAACACGGGATACAGAACAAAGAGAAAGCACTGCTTGTCCTTACGACACACTCTTGGAAGCCCTATCTGGGTTGGGCCATGGAGGTCCGGCATAAGAGGTGAGGGAAGGTCCAGCAATGCCACAGGACACAATAATTGTGATCTGACATCCACATGGATTTTGTGTGTGTGTGCGTGTGAGGAAGATTCGCTCTGAGCTATCATCTGTTGCCAATCCTCCTCTTTTTTTTTTTTTTTTTGCTTGAGGAAGATTAGCACTGAGCTAATATCTGTGCCAGTCTTTCTCTACTTTGTATGTGGGATGCCTCCACAGCCTGACTGATGAGTGGAGTAGGTTTGCACCCGGGATCTGAACCCACAAACCCAGGCTGCTGAAGCAGGGTGCCTGGAACTTTAAGTACTAGGCCACGGGGCCCCCACATGGATTTTGAACTAAGGAAAAACATGGGAACTAAATGCCAAAGCCTTAAAACTATAGCATGCACGTTAGGGTTTATAGTTGCACAAAAAAGATAAAACTTTGATTCAATTACCAGGATAAACCAGATACTGCCACAAAAACTTTTAAGTCATCTTAATTTTGTCTATTTCCGTTGAATAAATGATCCACATAATTATTTAATTTTGTATTTCAATTGTGTAGACAGTCAGGGGAATGGAAATTACTCTGTATCTCCTACCAACTTCCCAGTAGAGAATGGCATTAGTACGCTTGCCTATTTTTTCAGAAACCACATTAAGCCTAATTTGTTGGTTTACGGATAGTTTGGACATACTTCCAAATGATAAGACTTACAAATTCACTTTTGACTCTCAGATTAAAGCCCTTCTGGCTGCCAATTTTACTTACTAACAAGAGAAAGGAGCACAATCACACAATCAAATAAATTCCAGCCATTGGTGAAGTAGTATTGCCTCAGAGCAAAGATTTTGATGAGACACTCAATTGTAAAGATGACCACAAAGGTCAGGTTGAGATGCTCGAGGATGAGTCTTTTCTCGTCTGACTGGTTATGTGATTCAGCCATCATGGTAAGCATGTTGAGGAGAATGAGGATGATGATGACGATGTCAAAGACCTGGTTTGTGACCAGGTCAAACACAAGTCCCTGGCATTTGTTCTGAAAAAAAAAAAAAAGGAATCATAGATCATTTTGAGTTATAAAAATAAAAAAATAAAATCACATATGTAGAAAAGGCACATACAACAGAATTTGTCCTCTCTTACGATCAAAGCAGTTTCTTAAAAAATGCAGACTCTTTCTACAGGGCAAGAAATTCTTGTATATATACTTTCATTTAAATTTAATTAAATAACTGGTTTTAAGTTGTAGGCTTATAGCTTTAATTCCATTTTAAAACAAAAAATATAAATAAATTTTTTAGTAACAACATAACTTTTATGTGATGGATGATGTTGTTTTGCTGAAATAAAACAGCTCATGTTGGATCCAATAATAAAAAGATGAACTTTGGTCTCTATATTTCATCTGTTTCTGTATTTTGACTTCAATAATATTAATGCAGAGAATACCCGCTCACATAATTATGTGGGACAAAATGGAATTAACATATCCACGTCTCCATTTGTCAGTTCAGAGTAATCAGACCTTATACTTAACCAAAACTCTGTATTCAAGCAATTCTTGAATGCCAATTTTCTAATTCTTGTTCACTTGAAGATAAAACTAGATAAACAGGATTCTGATCCAATGATTACTAAAAACGGAAACAGAAAAACTGATTATTTCATATTATTACTGATGGCGAATTTGCATATTGGTTTGTACGTAGATGGCCATACTGCTACAAAGTGAGTATGTGCTAATTGATCTGATACAGGTTCTAACTCAAGTTTGCCTGCCTAATCGACCACGTGCAGTGAAATTACTCACTTATTCCACTACTTTCTTTAATCTAACTGTTGTGAAGCACTACCTTGTTCTTCACTTAGTGGAAAACTTTTCTTAAACACAAACTCAGACACTGACTTTGTATGGCATTCTTGACTATACATTTTTTTTTTTTTACAATGTATGAATATATTAGATTATTTTATATTATCACCTAATCAAAATATACATACCCTATTCTTTTTAGAGAACTCACAGATCCTTAAGAATTCATCTATAGAACCCCAGGCATCTGTTATGGTAATCCAGACAAAAGATGATGTTGGTTTGTGGTGTAACAGTGGAGAAAGACATAAGCATTTAGGTTTAAGAGCTAATATGGAAGTAGAAAGAAGAGGAGTCAGAGAATGTTTGAATGGAGGAGGCGATGGGAAATTTAGGGCTGTGGCTATCATTTCTGGTTCGTGGAGCCATTCAACCAGCCAGAGATCAGAGGATGAGGAGTTTTGGAGGGAGATAATAAGATCTGTCCTGAGCACGTTGAGTCTGAGGTGTCAACGGGCCATCCAAGGGCCACGGGCAGGTAGAAGTATGGGTTTGGAGCTCAGTTGCAGAGCTGGAATGCAAATGTGGAGTTCAATGGAACCAATACTGATATGAATTAAAACCCTTGAGAGTGAATGATATCACACAGGGAGAGCCTGGGGAATGAGGCGAAAGAGGGCAGAGACAGCATTGGAGGGATACTGCATTTGAGTCAGTGTCTTTCAAACTTTGCACCAGGAGCCCTAAAGCTTTTATCAAGGAGTCTGGAGGAGAAACTTGAAAGTCAAATGCACTTACTATGTGAGAATGCATCCGGAAAATCAGAAAGAACCTAGAGAAAAGATATTTTTAAGGGTGCTCTCCAGGGAAGCAGAAAGAGGGGTGAGAATAAATGTGAAGGAGGGTAAGCATTGGCCTTATAGTTCAACTCTAATATTTAGACAAATGGAGGAGATTCAGAATGTAAGTAACCTAAAGTGGTAGATGGTGAAAAAACATCGTACGTCACTTTAGAATGTATAGCGCCTCCTATACTTCAGCATGATTTTTAAACCCAGGAATGAAGTAATATAGGGATGCTTCAGGAAGAATCAGAAATGATTCGAGACCCCTTGCTCTACTGCTAGAAATGACATGCATCACTGCTCAGGTTAAAAGAGCTGTATTCCCCCCCTACACAATTGCTATTCATTTGTTCCAAAGTCAAAAGATAATATTTAGATTTTAGAGATTAAAAAACACCTGTGGGGAGGTGAAGTTGTAACTAAATGGTTAACAGCTGATTTGAAGTCTTAGCTCAAACTCAGGGACATCTGGGGATCTGATGTGGAATTTATCTCATGCAACTCTGCTCTCCGGAATACAGAAGTTAAGATAAACGTACAGTGTTAACTGGTGAGATTCTCCTTGGTTGCTGGAATCTCTCATTGTAAGCCGTGATTGGTGAGCTATGGATACACAGGGAGGGCTGTGGCCCGGCTCCTCCTCCCAGATGAGGCATGTGATAAACATGCTATAAAAGATAGTTAAGAAATGGAGGCGACAGCTTTCTTGCAGTAAAGAAGTCCATGCCCTCTTCAAGCGCATCTCTTGAAGCCTAGCATGTCCAGTGCAGTGGAGAGGCCTAGAAGCTGCCTCTCCATCTTTGCAACTTCTGTTTGGCTGTGTGCTGCTTTGTTAGCTTCATATCCTTCATGAAATAAACCAGTAAATATGTGGGAACATATTGTGTCTCACGAGTCTTTTAGTTAACTCCAAATCTGGGACCAACTGGTGCTGAGTCAGTGGGTGCATAACAAGCACATGTAAATGAAAACTCTCTTCATCTTTTCCATTGGTTCAAGTTCAAAGAGGAACTTCAAAGGGAAACTAGTACTAGAAAGTGAGATTGGTACTTAAAAGCTAGATGACTTAGGTAAATTGAAGTTCCACACACTGTTGACAGATTAAACCTCCCCAAATAGAATTTTATCACTAACTCCTTGGTCAAAAAAATTCTTCACTGTATAAATTCTAAACACTTGGCCCTGAAATTCACAGACATTTTTAGTGCGGTGCAAATATTTAATCCTAGTAGGATTGACCCTGTCTGTGCCCTAAAACGTATTCTTTCATTCAACAAATAATTACCAAGAACATACTTTATGTCAGGCCCTATTCTGAGTGCTGGGAATAGCACTAAATTAAATGCACCTTTGAGAATTTCGGGTCTGGTGTTCGAATGAAAATCTCCAAATCCTCTACATGCTTCAAATATCCAGCCCCTCTTCCATTCTGATTTCCCAGACTTCTCAGGCCCCACTCACCCTGTGCCTTGAAAGCCTTCAAACTCGGCTTGTCAGAGCTACCAGCTGTGCCTGTTGTAGTGCTTTATCAGCTACTGCTCTCAAACCCCAGCTCCTCAATTAGACTGCAAGCACAGAGCAGCGCTGGGGCAGAGCAGCGCTGGGAGCCGCTCCTATCTTGCCCTGTAGTAGTTGGTAAAGCAGAATTCATAGAGAGCAGGGGTCAGCAAACTATAGCCCGTAGCCCAAATCAGGCCCACTGCCTGTTTTTGCTTAGCCCATGAGCTCAGAATGGGTTTTACATTCTTAAATGTTTGGGGGAAAACTCAAAAGAAAAATAAAATTTTGACACATGAAAATCACATGAGATCCAAATTTTAGTGTCTATAAATCAAGGTGTACTGGAACACAGCCACGCACATTTGCTCTATATTGACTGTGGCTGCTTTTGTGACACAGCCACAGAGTTGAGTAGCAGCAGCAGAGACCATGTGGCCTGCAGAGCCTAAAACATTTGCTGTCTGACCTTTTATAGACAAAGTTTGTCAGCTCCTAATACAGAAAATTAATCATAAATACTTGCGAAGTGGAAGTGAGTATGCATGACCTCAACTTCACAGCAGAAAAAGTTGGCAAAAGATATAAATACATTTAAAATCGGTCAAGATTAAGTTAAAAGACTGCTAAGTTCACATGATTGCAATGAGTATACACTAAGCACTTATTGTGTGCTCATTAAAAAGTAAATTAAAGTTATTGCCCAAGTTCTTACTACTGAATTTGATTGTCTAATTTTCCTAAGGACTTGAGCCACATGCCAGTGTATTTGGGTTTTTATTGAGTTCTTAGATAGTGTCTGTACATTAAAAAAGTAAAGGAGAACAGCATAGCAGACATTTGAGTTCCTCATGACCATGAATGGATTATGTATTTAGAATTAATCAATTGCTCTCACCAGTGGCCTTGGAATGGGCTTCTGAGGTTTTTTGGATCCTAATTTTTTCATTGCATTATAGTATTTCCTCTGTTCTTCTGTCATAAAAATGTCTTGGCCACCTAAGTATATAGAAAAGATGAGAGCTAACTATCATTAACAGTGTTTTGGAAACAAGTTCTGAATTTTCAGAAACAGTCTCAGTTACATTACATTTCTATCAACAATTCCTAAAATTCTGATGGGAAGCAAAAGAGGCTGAACTCTACGGGAGGGCTGAAAGGGAAACAGGGTTTAAACTATGGAATAGGGAGAAATGGTACTTTTATCAGTTGTAAAAAGAGAAATCCCTTTTTATAATACAAACAAAGATTATAAATTCTTTGCAAACATCTGCAGAATCTTTACAAAAATTGAACGTATTTCAAGTTGCATAAATCAAACCACAATGCAATAAAAATAGAAATTAGCAACAAAAATTTAAACAAGAAAATCCCACAAAGTGCCAATTAAAATTCTCTTAAATAAATGAATGCATGTATCACTACTAAGAAAATTTCATAAAATCTGTCCAGAGCCATTCTTAAAAAAAAAAAAAGGAAAAAAGAAATCTTTAAATCTTTTCACTACCGAGCAAGAAAAAACAGAAAAATGAACTAGTGTTCTCATTTCTGGAAATTTGGGGGGTAAAATACGCAGAAATACTGAATGAAATAGAACAGATTTTAAACGTAAAGCTGAACCTGCACAAAGTAGGGAAATCTCCAAGGTCTGAAAATCAAGAGAGATGAAAAAAGACAGAATTGGAAATTAGCCCTGAAGCCATAGTTGGCCTAAGAGCTTTTGCTAATCTCTATAAAAACTAGAAGCTTGGGCTTTAATAACCACAAAGATGTCATGGGAAAAGGCAGCGAGCTTATGCCAAGGTCCCTGCATGAATAGGGAACTCTCCAAGGGCTGCCAATGGAAGGGTGAAGAAGACAACAGAATCTGTCTCTTGGCAACAGGAGACAACGAGGAAACTGTCTCAGTGTGCACTACAGGTAAAAACCCAGCCTTTCCTGATAATTTGTAAATCCAGGCCTGCCTTGATGAGGGTGTAGGGTGTGAATTTACACCACCAGTATGGGCCAAAACTATACAGCCCTAAGACAGTCTTTTCAACAAATGATGCTGGGAAAACCGGGTATCCACATGCAAAAGAATGAAGTTGAATCCTTATCTAACATTAATTACAAAAATCAACTCAAAATGGATCAAAGACATAAATGTAAGATCTAAAAACGCTTAGAAGAAAACATAGGACAAATCTTCATGACACTGGATTTGGCAATGATTTCTTTGATATGACACCAAAGGTACAGGTAACAAAAGAAAAAGTAGACAAACCAGACTTCATAAAAATTTAAAACTTTTGTGCATCAGAAGACACTATCAATGGAGTAAAATGGCAACCCACAGAATGGGAAAAAAATATTTGCAAATCATATATCTGATAAGGGATTAATATCCAGAATTCATAGAGAACTCCTAAAACTTAACAAAAAAAAAAATCAAACAACCAGATTCAAAAATGGGCAAAGGACTTGAACAGACATTTCTCCAAAGATATTCAAATGGCCAATAAATACATGAAAAAAATGCTCACCATCACTAATCACTAGGCAAATGCAAATCAAAACCAAAATGAGATACCACCTCACACCCATTAGGACAGCTACTATCAAAAAAACAGAAAACAAGTGTTGGTGAGGAGTAGAGAGATTAGTACCTTCATACACTGTCGGTGGAAATGTAAAATGGTACAGCATCTGTGGAGAACAGTATAGCAGCTCCTCCAAAAATTAAAAATACCATTACCATATGATCCAGAAATTCCACTTCTGGGTATACACCCAAAAAAATTGAAAGCAGGTCTCAAAGAGATTTTGCACACCTATGTTCATAGCAACTTCATTCGCAATAGCTAAAATGTGGAAGCAACCCAAGTGTCCATTGATGGATGAATGGATGAGTAAAATGCGTTATTCACCCTTAAAAAGGAAGGAAATTTTGAAATATGCCACAACATGGATGAACCTTGAGGACATCATGCTACATGAAATAAGCCAGTCACAAAAAGACACATAGTGCATGATTCCACTTGTATGAGGTACTTAGAGTAGTCAAAATCATAGAGACAGAAAGTAGAATGGTGGTTGCCAGGGGCTGGGGTAAGGGGGAATGAGGAGTTATTGCTTAACGGGTCTAGAGTTTCAGTTTTACAAGATAAAAAGAGTTATAGAGATGGGTGGTGGTGTGGTTGCACAACATTACAAATGTATTTCATACCACCACTGTACACTAAAAATGGTTAAGATGGTAAATTTTATGTTAGGTGTATTGTACCGCATCAAAAAAAATTAAGAAAAAAGAAAACAGCCCTAGAAGTTAACCAGGTTGTTTCAGGATGCCTGGGAGACACAAGCGTCTTTTGTAATCATATGCATCATGATACTATTAATATTGTTGTTCTGAGACTGTCCTATGTGTGAGTTGTGAGATAAAGAAAATGAGCAATTATGGAAAATTTTAATGCTATCATCTCCTGTGCCTGTGAGAACCAGGTTTATTGGTGTAGAAGAGAGAAGATACAAATGTATCAGAGAAGAGATTGAGTAAAAACCCTGTAGTCTTGAATTTGAATGATCAGTATTCATATTTCCACATATATATTTCATTGTAGTCCTAAATTTCGAAGCTCTGTCCACTGAAAAAGCTTAGAAGCAATGACAACGAGCGTTCCAGATTGTGGTCTTGGAACATCGCCTCCTGCAACAAAACCAGCACTCCTTAGAGAAATGGCTGATTCCAGATCTGGGGCAGGAAGAGAATGACTTAGGCCTGGAACATCTTGTCATTCCAGAGAGCAAGGAAGTCGTCAAATGGGAGGACATAATTTGAATCCTGATTTGAAAAGAAAAAAACTTTAATATCAATCAATCAATCAACTAAAGAATGAATAAATAAATATAAGAAGGGCCAGCCCCATGGGTGAGTGGTTAAACTTGCACTCTCCACTTTGGTGGTCCAGGGTTCCACTGGTTCGGATCCGGGGCGCAGATCTAGCACCGCTCAGTAAGCCACACTGAGGCGGCATCCCACACAGCAGAGCCAGAAGGACCCACAACTAGAATATACAACTAGGTACCGGGGGGCTTTGGGGAGAAGAATAAAAAAAAGAAGAAGAAGATTGCAACAGATGTTAGCTCAGGTGCCAATCTTTAAAATTAAATAAATAAATAAATATAAGAAAACAAAAGACAAGGAAATCTGAACATTGGCTAGGTTGTGACAAATTTAAAGAATTCACGTTAAACTTTTTAGATGTGACAATGGAATTACGGTATGTTTAAAAAGAGATATGTTCTGAAATATCTGTGGATGAAATGAGATGATGTCTGTGATTTGCTCTCTAAAAAAATCTGGTGGCAGGATTGGATAAGGGCATAGGTGGCATAAGGATGTTCTTAATTCAATAAATCTTGTGCTGGGTGATAGTTATTTAGGTTCATCTTAGAACACTCTTGTGCACGTTTGAAATTTTCTGTAATAAAAGGTAAAACAAAACAAAACAAAAATGCTAGGGGCTGATCAAAACAGTGATTTCAGAATGTCAGCTTAAATCTAAAAACACAAGGCCTGACATCCAAATTGCAGGTGTTGACTGCAACCAAACTGCCTGTTACAGGGGTGACTCTACATAGCACACTCCCAAGTTACAGCAGCAACGCAGCTGCATAGGACAGTGAATGGCTCTCCCAACAGACACCAAGGCTAACCTGTATCATAATACATTCAGGATGAATTATAAGAGTTCAACAGAAAAATTAAAAAGAGCCACAAAACAACTAGGAAAACCAAAAGTGAATATTTAGTTATCTGATTTTAGGATTGAGAAATACTGTCAGTTCATAAATGCAAGAACCAAAAAGGACAAGATTGGCTGTTAGACACCAAAAAAATGCTAAATGTCTGTAAGTCAAAATGTCACCACAAAAATAAAAGAAGTAAGACCCAAATTGGATTTATTATATAAAAACATAAGAAAAAGATGACAGTCAATTTTAAAAGGAGATAAGGGCTATAAATAGATAATACTAATGGCCATCAATCAACCTGTGAAAAAGTGTATAACCTCACAAATGATCACATAAATGAATATAAAACAATGAGATAACAATTTTACCCATCAAGCTAGAAAAGATAATAAATTATAAAAATCAAAATGATATAGAGTAAACAGGCATTTTCATATCTTGCAAAAGGAGAGTACTTAGCACAGCATTTTGGCAATAATATCTTTAATGCCTTAAATTCTAGGAACTTCTCCTGAGGAAATAGTCACAGATACACAGACAGAATTTCAAGAATGTTCATGATTGTTTTAGAAGAGCAAGAAATTTAGAAATGGCCTAATATTGAAAAGAGAGGGGAATGATTAGCATAAATTACAATCTATTCATAATATGGGGTGTAATTCAGCCCTGAAAATTCTTATAACAAAGATGATTTCATGACATGGGCTCACAACTAGTGGGGAGGAAGGGAAGCTAAAAAATGAAAAATATCGTGCAATATCATCTGTGTAAAAAGAATACATAGTTAGAAAGTAACTGGAAGGGATTGTACTAAATGATGAGGCTTAATCTAAAAGTTATCATTTGGTGGTGACAAATAGAAATGGCAAACAATAGGATACACTGGAGTATATGAGGAAGCCATTTGGTGTAAACCTAACTCAGCCTGACTTTGTTTTTGCAAAATGGCCTGACACGGCCATTGAGCATGCATTATATATCTGCTTTAAGCATTTCCTATGTCCCAAAGACAAGAATAAATGGCTTTAAGATAAAGCTGCAACTTCCCCCACATTGGCATTTCCTTAAGGATAGGCATCTTTCCCTAGGCTAGGGACTGATTGCTGCGCTCACCTGTGACCACCCAGCTCAACACAACAGACCTGCCACCCTGCTGTGTCCACCGGGACCACAGACCTACTACCTGCTATGTCCATCAATTGCTGTGCCGAGAGATCAGTCTCGTGACTATTGTAAAAGGGACATTTCAGTCATGTGAAACATGCTCTTTGAGGGTATATAACCACTCTGTACACCCCACTTCTTTGGTGCCCTTCCTTCCTCGGGGAAGGAAGGCCCTGGACTATGGTCCTCACATTGTGGCTCAGAATAAACTCACCCCAGTTATCATTTATAGATTGGGTATGGATTATTTGCGTCGACAGTCATCACCTTGGGGGTGATTCAAATTTTCTTTTTATCTTCCTTTATTTCTCACATTTACTACAAAGCTCCTATGGATTATAGAATCAGAAAAATAAACATCTGTTTATTACAGCACATGGGAAAAATATCTCCCTAAAACACCTTCCTCTTCCCCAACTATTTTCTTTCCAAGTAAATTCAATAAATCTGCTGAGACTTGGGTGTTGAGACCCAGGACACAGGTTTGCTGAAAGAGGAGAGTTCATTCTTTTTATCCTGGATAACAAGGTACACTGGAAAGGTTACTAGACTATAGCATCATATATGCTAATCCTGGTAGTTGTCTTTCTATTAAGCTTCAACTTCAACAACATCCTTTGTTTAAGAGGGTAGAATGGACAGTGAAAACAATGATTTAATAAAACCCAGCTGTTTTCAGTCCCTTTTCAGCCGTATCTTTAAGAATCTTCTCCAGGTGGTCTCCTCTTTGTTCTTACGCAGATGATAAAGGCTACTTTGCATAATAATCTAGACCAGAATTATGTTCCATTCAAGCCCTTTGGAGAAGAGAGGTGAAAATACCAAATCAGGACAACCCCCATACTTATCTTTCTTTGCTGTTGGTTGAAGTTGTCAATAATAACACCAATAAAGAGATTCAGAGTGAAGAATGAACCAAAGATGATAAAAACTACGAAGTAAAGGTACATGTATTTGTTGTGCTCAAACTTTGGCTGTTCCCATTCCTGTGAGGGATTTTTTAAATGAGAGAAGAAAACAATTACTGGGGGAAAATATAAGCCATTTTTACTGTCTTATCAAAAGACCAAAGTGTTTCTCAGCAGCAGCATTAACTACACTGCCTCCTCCAGACAGCCTTGGCCCCTGCAGGGAGTGCTTCTTTCAGTTTCCTAGTACAGCTTGAGTGGTGCCATGCAGTGGGGAGGGGGTGTAGCCAGAGGGTTAGGCTTTTTCTCCTAAGCAATGAAGAATCATCGAAAGGCTGTGAGAGAGAGGAGTATCATGATCATGTGTATCCTTTGAAAAGGTCTCTAGGATGTCTGCATGGACACATAATTGGAGGGAGCCAGACTGAGATGAGGCCACTAGAGAAGGGACATGCTCACCTCAGGCAGAGGTTACTGACTATCAACTCTTGTTGAACAGCTATATCCTCATATAGAGCCCACTGTTGTATTTAGTCTGTGCTTATGTCCTGTCCCTCTTGAATTCCTAGTGCCTACTCTACCTTGTGACATGTAGATTCTCAGTACACACTGAATGAATGAATGAATGAGTGAGTGAATGAAGGAATAATCAAGCTTTGGAATGCACACAAATGGACTACAACCAAACTCCCCCAGCTCAAGGTGTGACCCAAAGCATCAGAGATTCGTTTCCGCCAAGTTCTTCACATTGTCCTTGGCTTTATGTAGTTTGGGGATAGGTGGCAGGAGGATTTCTCTTTTCTATCCCCTGATCACATTGAAAGATACAGCTATGAGTGCTGATAGCTCTGTAATCTGTTGAAAGTATTTCTGATATTTGTGATTCAACAACCACCAAATAGACTGCATAATACAGGTAAATATTTGAAAATCCTAGGTTTCTCTTTTGCCTTGAAGAGTACCTGACCTTAGTCCTAGTTGACTTGAGGCATCCACTTGTTTGAATCAAGGATAGGGATTAGCACGGAAACAATACAATGGACAGAAAGAATTAATATTCAGCATCTGACATTTAAAATAAGATTATGCAGTGGGCTGATAGTCTTGCAAAGGGAAGTTCAGACAGAAAGAGGGAAGAACAAAAGCTCACCCCACTTGTACCTAGAGAATTGTCAGAAAAAGAAACAGAGAGACAGAGGACATCAGAGCCATGAGATGTGTGTCCTGATTCTCCCTCTTTGGATTTGGAGAGGGACTTGGAGCCCAGCAAACCGAGGGGAATATGGAGGGCAAAGAGGATGTTCTCGTTCAACTTATGTATTTTTCTAAGAGGAAACTGCTGCTGGGAAGGCCTAGGATACTGAAGAGTCTGGAGTCATATAATCAGACAGAGAGGTCTCTTGAACCTTTTTCAGTTCTCATGTCATTTGGACATGGGGTTGATAGCCGTGGGCCTGCCATAGTGGGCTTCATAGCAAGGGATGGGAATAGACTGCAGGGCTACGGACCATGTGGAGGATATGGCAAAGAATCAGTGTTTGAGACCAGGAGGAGTCAAGAGGGGAGAAAGGCCCATGGTGTCACCAGTTACAGCTTCAATATTTGAGACCAACAGGATGTTTTGTGGCTACAAAGACAAGGGCCATTATGCCAGAAGCCAGCACCCACCAGCTAGACTATGCCAGGACCAGTATCAGGACAGGCACCCCTCCACGCTCCTCCACCACTTATCATTCACTCAGGGAACATATATAAGCCACACACCTCTTCCATCATACACCTGCATAAGATTTCCTTCCCATCCCCCACCTCCACTTCAAGAGAGATGGATGCCTAAGGTAAACTAGGGTGAAGGTCATGTACTCAAACAGATTTAAAAAATGAGCACGTTAATATTTTAAAACATTTCCTTTGTTATAAATTGCCTCTACTACTATTATAACACTACTCACACCGCCTCTACTGCTTCTACCATCTCACACGTATTGAACACCTACTATGTGTTAAGCATTAACTCTGCACTCTCAAACAGAACAGCACACACATGTGTGATGATAGGGAAAAAATAAACAATGCTAATTCCATTCTTGATTCAACTATTTGCTCATGCTTTGGCTTTGGGCAACACCCTTCCTTTCTATTCCTCAATTTTTCCAACTGGGAAATAGACATGGAACAGATTGCTGAGTATTCTCCCAACTTTGGGAATCCATGATACTTTTTATTTAACTGCAATTTAACAGTTGACAATCATCAGAAACCCCTTTAGCCTCTGGGGAGCCTGGAGCCATAGGAGAGTCTCTCTTGCTCAGACCTGGTCCAATCTTAATGTTTTCCCAGCTAAGGGAAAGTACCCTTTGAAATTTGGCTTCTGCCTGTCCACCTAGTTGGAGAAGTGGTAGGAGAGGAAAATCAAGACATCCTGTGGTTCTGTTGTTTCTGGCTCCACCTCCTACATGAGTGGTTTCTCTTTGGTTACTATGGAGAAAGAGGACTGGACTTCAGAGCACATTAGGATGCACTACTCTTGGGAGGATGAATAGGAACCCTTTTTATCCCTGTTTCATAGTGTTTCTCTCAAGGGAAACAAGGCAAAGAACCCTGGCCACTGGAACTGTGAAGAAGGAGGTTCCATATAGTCATGATATTTGACATGAGCACTATAGAACATTGTGGAACACAAGCTCACCTTTGTGGAATCAACAGCTGCATACATAATTTCCATCCAGCCCTTAAATGTTGCCTGCAACAAAAGCAAAGAAATACGATCACAATTATAGACTTGCTGTCAACAGGCAAATGCCACTCAAAGGCAAGCGAGGTCCAGTGGGCAGATGTATATAAGATGATGTTCCACCCTTCCAGGACAGACTGTCCAACAAAAGAATAGTAGAAATGAATTCAAGGATGGCTATCTTGGTTTTTTTCTTCTTCATTTGTACAAGATAAAAAGTCTAAAAACAAAAGAAATTTCTGCCTTAAAAATTGCTAGAGGGGCCGGTCTGGTGGCGCAGCAGTTAAGTTCACACATTCCGCTTCTAGGCAGCCCAGGGTTCACTGATTCAGGTCCCAGGTGCGGACATGGCACTGCTTGGCACACCATGCTGTGGTAGGCGTCCCACATATAAAGTAGAGGAAGATGGGCACGGATATTAGCTCAGGGCCAGGCTTCCTCACCAAAAGAGGAGGACTGGCAGTAGTCAGCTCAGGGCTAATCTTCCTCAAAAAAAAAAAAAAAAATTGCCAGAGAAGCTATGGTCCAACTGCCGGAAAGAGCCTTAACCAGACATCAGCTGGTCAAGGCTCTTTTCTGATGCTACATAGCTTGCAGTGTCTGTCCAAGACCTGGCAACTGTCGTTTGACCCAGGACTGACTTCCAACAGGGAACTGTTACTAATGGTGTGGCTTAGCATCTGAGGCTCCACTTCTCTCTGGCTGGAGCTCTGGAGAGCAAGGCTCCACAAAGGACAAGATGAGATACACAGCCCCTTACAGAGGCATCACTTGGATGTTGAGGCTCAGTAGACTAAAAAGTTGGAGATGCTCAGTGGGGAACAATTCCAGAGGGGATTGGCTCCCACATGAGGAATTGGGATTTGATTGTATTATCTCATGGAGGCACTGTATTTTTATTAGCTGAGAAATGATTAATGATTCTTTTAAGTTTTCTCCCCTCAGAGTGAAAAACATAGCAACGGTACTTACCACTTGCAGCAGGGCGAGGTAAGCCATTCCCACATTGTCAAAGTTGACTCTTGGGGTGACCCAGGAGAAATTTTCACTTTTACAGTGGGTTATGTTTGTAATGAAGCTGTAATTTATAGTTGATATTTCTGTTCCATTAACGCATCTTCCAAATTTTCCACAAAAGAAGTTTACTCCCAGGATACAAAATATGAGCCAGAAAATGAGGCAGACAAGCAAAACATTCAGAATGGCAGGTATGGCACCCATGAGAGCATTAACTACCACCTTAAGGAAACAAAACAGAAGGAAATCATAACAGATTTGTGGGACTCACCAAGCTCTTGATCCTCCCAGGATGGGCATGATGTGCAAGGCTGGATCTCTTGGAGCTCCGTCTTTACTCTCCACCCCCTACTCCCCTACCCCTCACCCCACGGCAAGCCCTGCTCTCAGCTCTATACATAATGGGTCTTTCTGTTGTCACCAAGGATCACTTGAGAAGCGTCCTCTAGTGATGGTCTTAGAGACTTATGGGACACAGCCCCAGGTTTGAAGGGAAGCCAGAGCCCATCTCAGTGCTGTCACAGAAGCTCTTTTAGGATGGAGACCATATCTTAGACTTTTCCCCATCTCTCAGATTCTAAGCAGTGAGCTAGATGGAAAGAAGGGCAGGAAAAGATTGGCAATGTAAGGGAAGCCCAGCTGAAGAAGAGCCACTGGCCTCTCCACCTTTCCCTGCTAGATTACCTTCCTCCCATCCACCTGAAGAACGTACCTTCATTCCTTCAAACTGGGACAGCGCTCGCAGGGGCCTCAGTGCTCGGAGAGTCCGGAAGGACTTTGAGACATTTAAGTCAAGGAGACTGGCCACAGAGACCTGGTGGGAAGAGATGCCACAGGTAGTGCAACTGACTTGATGCTCAGGGAAGCCAGTATGGGGTTGAGAGTACTCATTCTGAGAGACAGATGCTTCATGCCCACGATGGATTATCCAGACACAGAAAACAGCCAGACCCTCCTGGAAAGGGGACGGCAGGTGGAGAGGCTATTTTTCTCTTTGTCTGGCAAAGTTAGAGCCCATACAGGTGAGAATGATGCATTTATATTATTTGTTTAATGAAAGACAAAGAAAAACTGAGAAATTTTTGTAAATTAAGGAAAACCAAAGACACATGACAATGATATGTCGTGAGGGGTCCTGAATTGGAACATGGATTGGGGGGAGGGGTAGGTGGTGGTGGGTGGGTAGAGAGAATTAGTCATAAAGGACCTTGTTGTGACAATTGACAAAATTTGAAAATGGATGTGGGTTTTAGTATTGGACCATGTTAAATTTCCTAACTTTGATAATTGTACTGTGACTGTGTCAGAAAATATCTTCATTCTTAAGAAATACACCCCAAAATGTTGAGGGGTAAAGGGGCATGGTGCCTGCAACTTAATCTCAAGCAGTTTAGAAAAAAGCAATAGAAAATGACAAAGCAGATGGAGTAAAATGTCAGTAACTGGTTAATCTGGGGAAAGAGTATAAGGAGTCCTTCTCCACATTATTTCTTGCAACTTTTCTCTAAGTTTGAAATGATATCAAAATAAAAAGTTACAAAGAAATAATAAATTTTCCCTCCCTCAAATAGCTCCTTTTTGCGAAATTAAATCCAATTTTCTCTCGGAACATGCTTCTTCCCAATGGGACAGGACTGAGGATTGGAAAGCTCTGCAAATATACTAAATTAAAACTTAACTAATATGCTAAACTTAAGCTGATGACCACCATTTGTAGATTTTCAGCCATTCTCTCTCATTGATTATGCAGCCTTCAGAGGCTCAGCTTGGAAGGGGAGTTGCTCAGCGAGACAGGAAGTGAATTATGATACTCCTGACTAAGCTGATGTCGAAGTTCACTGTTATCTAAAAACACCCCCCACTAATCTTGCCAAGCTCATTGCAGTAAAAATTTGCAAATTGAGAGAAATTAAGTGAGTTAATATGACAGAATAACCAGATTTTAAAATTTGTAATCAATTTTCTTTTAAAGTCACCATCAATTCAAAATGTTTTTATTTATAATGGTTTTTAAAATAGGCCTTTTGTTTGTGACAGCTTTGTCTGTTGAGAGACTTATTTAAGCAGCTGTTCCCCCAAGTACTCCTTCTACCTTGTTCCTAGCGAGAGGGAAAAGGATGTCAGAGTTTAGCGGCTCTTCTGACTTTACCAAATGACTGTTATCATGGGTGGGGAAGAAGTGTTCCTAGAGGGACACTGCATATCTTTTCACCTGGAATTTCACCCCGTCTCTGTTCCACCAAACTGCGAGGCTTCGATGAGACACATAGACATAACAACACCCACCTTCTTTCCCACTCTACAGCATTCTTCAGGGTGGGAAATCGGCCAGTTTTATCTTATTTTTTTTTCTATCTAACTTGCATTTATCTGTCTGAACTATATTTTTGAGATACATCATGTTGATATATATGCTTATAGTTTGCTCCTTTTAACTGTTGGGAAATATCACAGCATATTCATATTTTATGACTATGAAATCCATTACCCCTTCGTGAATATCTAGGTTATTTCTATTTCTTTGCTTTTATGAACAACAGCAAACTGGACAGACACGTGCATTTCTCCTGAGTACATACACAAGCATTTTGCCTGGATTTATAACTAGAGGTAGTATTTCTGGATTGTAAATCAGACTCATATGTAATTTTACTTAGTGCAAAACTTCCCCCAAAATGACTGTACCAATTAAATTGTTAGCAATGATTACAGACTCCACTTTCCTATGTCCTTCTCAATATTAGATATTATCCAATTTTAAAATTTTTGTCAATATGATAAGTAAAAAGAAGTCTCTCATTTTAATATGCACTTCTGTGCTAAGTGGTGATATAACTAACATGTATTTCTTCATACATTTACTTGCAACTCGAGTTCTTCTGTGAATTGCCTGTCATCCTTCTCCCATTCTTACGCTGGGTTGTCTTTTTCTCATTATCCTGTAGGGAGTTTTTATATACTGTGGATAATAATGATCTCTTATGTGTACGGCAAATACTGTCTCTGGGCTTTAGCCCGTCTTTAACTATAATTATGATATTGTTGAATAGAAAAACAAAAGTTTTATATTTTGATATAGTTGAATTCATACATATATTTTTGTGGTTTTGTTTCCATTTTTATACTCCAAAATTATAAAGATCATTTTATACAATCTTGATTAACAAGCAACATAAAAGTGTTACTCACATACATTCTCTCATTTAAGCTGCACAGTAATGTTCCAAATTAACCAGCATCATGTATCACCTACTATGTTACAGACAAGGAAACCTGAAGCTCAGAGGATCAGTAACCTGTTTTAGGTGGAATTGGGATTCATACCTTGTTATGAATGATGCTAAAGCTAATGATAGTAATAGTGTACCACACTTATTGTGAGCTTTCTCTCGGATTTACAAAGATATATAATCATAAGATTATTTCTTTTTTTGTTTTATTCATTTTTGTTGCATTCATTTTGTTATCAATGTTATACTTGTCTCAATAAATACATCTGCAACCTGCCTTTCGTTTTCTTTTCTTTCTAACAATCTGAATAAGGTTGTGTTAACTGCTTGTCTTAGTTCAGGCTGCTATGACAGAATACAATAATGTGGCTGGCTTATAAATAACAGAAATTTATGTCTTATAGTCTGGAGGCTGGAAAGTCCAAGATCAAGGCACCAGCAGAGTCAGTGTCTGGAGAGAGCCTGCTTCCTGGTTCATAGAGGGACCTCTTCTCCCTGTGTCTTCACATGGCAGAAGGGGTGAGGAAGCTCTGTGGGGTCTCTTTTATAAGAGCATTAGTCCCACTCATGACAGCTCTGCCATCAGGACCTAATCACCTCCCAAAGGCCCCACCTCCAAAAACCAACACATTGGGGAGTAGGTTTCAACCGATGAATTTTGGGGGTTCAGACATTCACTATATAGTATTACTCCTTGGAATTTTGGTAAAACCTTGTCAAACCATCTGGGCCTGGTGCCATTTTTTGGCAGTGTGGTATTGGACTCCTGTTTTGATATTTTAAATAGTTATTGTTATATTATAAATGCTTAGGCTTTCCATTTTGTATCTGGTCAAATTTGGGCAATTTATAGTCAACACTCTCATTTTTACTCATGTAAAAACTTATGTCAAAAGAGGGAAGCACTTTTCTTAAGGTTACACAGAAAGAGAACAGACAAGGTAGCTTTAGGACCAGTCTCCTAAGTTTAGGTGAGGAAACCACGGGTCCCTAGAAGGGAGATACCAATAATCTGTCCACTATCATGGATTCCTCACTATAATCTAATAAGATAACGAGTGCAGAGTGATTTGCACTCTGGAAACTGATAGGGTTAACAAACACGTGGATGTTTTTATTCCATTTTTTGACTTCTATTGGAGCTTCTATGGCACTGATGCCTTTCTAAAATGCCTGAACCACATGGCTTATTTGTATCTACCAACAATATTATGGTTCTCTAGCAGGGTGTGCTGACCGCATGGCTTATGTTTATACATTTGTGATATCTATTTCCTTAAATAGCAAGGACAAAGGCTAAATAATTAGTTCATGGTAGAAGATATGGATATTAAAATCAAGGTCTTTGGAGTAAGACTTACTAGGATTGAGTCTCACCTCCACCACTTCAAGCTGGGCAATCTTGAACATGTTTCTTAGCCTCTCTATGACTTAGTTTCTTTCTATGTATATGAGAAAAATAATAGTACCTATCACATGGATTGACTGTGATAACTGAAAGAGAAAATGTATTTGAAGTATACGGCAGAGTACTTGGCAGAGAAAGCACTCAATAAATGTAATCTACCATTACTATTATCGGCCTTAGCATCACACAGACCAAGGTGTGAATCCCAGTTTCACATGAAACAAGTTGCTGATCATCTGAGCTTCAGGTTTCTTTGTCTGGAACGTGGTGGGTGATATATAACTCTGTTTAACTCGTAACATTGTGCAGACTAAGTATGTGAATAATCCTCTTATGTTGCTTGACAATCAAGATGGAGAGCAGCCAAGTCTGTTGGCTGCTGACCTGCTTACAAGTCTTAAAAAGAAATGGAAAGTTGGAAGGAGGAGAGAAAATGGAGGATACTGAAGTTATTCCAGGTATACGTCATACATGAGCAGTGCTTATAGAGAGAAGTGGATGAGTGCCATCACAGAAAGGGTTGGGGTAGTAAGCATATGAAATGCAGTGTAAGAGGAAGGGGACCCAGGAAAGGCAGAACTTTGGATAAATGACAACTACTTACAAGTTCTGTGAAGAAAAATTCTTGGAGAGGCACCCACATGAGGCATACGGGCACAGCAGCTCCTATATGATCCCCTATCCCACCCCATCCTCCATCCCTACCTGCATGGGATACAGAGATGGCAAACTTACAATCACAATGACGAAATCGAGCCAGCACCAGGCACTGGAGAAATACTTCCCAAATCCAAAGGCCACCCATTTCAGACCCATCTCGAGGATAAAAATGTATGTGAAAACACTGTCAGTATAATTAAGTAATGCTTGAATATTGGGTTTGTTAGTAAGGTGAATATCTTCAAATACCTGAAATGATAAAGCATAGCCATAGGCCAGTTTGAATATTTGCACAGAACTCCTTGTTAACTTTACTTTTTATTTTTCTCCCTTATCTGAATAAACTAGTATCTCTCTTGATGATGAAGTTTTACTCAAAAAGCATTAAGGCTGAACTTTTCCAATGGAATCAATTGAGTAAGTAAAACTGGAAGAAGGAAAATCCTATTTCTAGACCTCTGTCACCACTATAGACTTCTAGGCTCTCATCACTGGCCCCTGGAATATAAAAACATCTCCCTAATGGCTCACCACATCATTTCCTGGTCTTCCTAATTCTTTCAACTCTTGCCAACAATATCTTGCCAACTTTTCCAGAACCACCTAGAGGCATACACATCTTTTTCATCCTTCTAGTTACCTTAGAGGCTCCGTTCAGTGGCTCTCCATTGCTTATAACATCCAGTCCAAACACCTTAGCCCACACTCCAGATCCCGCCAACCCTGAGTCACATCATCTTCCACCCAACAGCCTTATCCACTTACCCTAGTGTTCCCTACAGATGTGATCATTTTGTATGTGCACCGTGACATGCAAAAGCTTGGGAAGCTCTGGTCTAGAGCTCCCAGTACAAATTACTTTGAATATTAAACATTCATTCAGTGTGATTATGAAAATGAGACATCCTAGCATTCAGAGAGACTCTTTTTCATGCTACATCTAAACATTTCGCTCACCCAAAGTGTGTGTGTAATTCTTCAGGGTCTATATAACTACAGTATAAGCTGTCCTTTTGGCCCTTACAGAGTTGCTGAGGATGAAAAAATAGAGAGAAGGATCCCCGGCACTAAACCTGCCAAGACATTTGGGTAAACACTGAAGGCAAGAAAGAAATCAGCCCCGCTGCCAGGGACTAAGGTAATCCATAGCTTCATGGCCGTGAGGAAGAAGAACGCAAACGAGTAAGACAGTCTCACTTCCAACTCCCAAGTGGGCATCTGACTGGAGAAGGCCCTCCTTCTCCTCATCTGTCCTGCTGGCTCCTCAGTAGCCTTTAGATCTCCATTTAGCTAATATTTTCTACAGGAAAGTGTCTTTCTTCCACCAAGACTGAGTTAGGTGCCCATCCTACATGGCCTCATGTCACCCACTGCTTCTCTGACAGTAGCGCTGAGGCCCTGGTCTGTAATTGCCTGGACTCCATCTATCTTCATTACTAGACTCCAAGCTCCTAGAAGTTAGGGTTCTTGTCTGTGTATTTTCCTCTTGTGGAGAGACAAATCTGAATATTTTTGGAAGCTTATTTTCTCTCATTTTGGAAACTTAGCAACAAGCTGGCTCAGTAGGTCTGAGTTTGCTCAATGGAAGAGCAGACTGATATCAGTAACTGAGCTTTGGAGTCTCCCACATTATAACGAGGCCATTTCCTAATCCAGGAAGCTCCCATTACTATATAGCTCCCCAGACCAGAGCTTCTCAAACTCTAACAAGCCCCAAATCACCTAGATTCTGTTCAGCAGGTCTGGGGTGGGCCCAAGATTCTGCATTTCTAACAAGTTTCCAGGTGACACCGAGGCTGCTGATCCATATACCACATACAGTGGCAGGGGACTAAATGTTTTTTGTCTCCATTTCTGTACAAATACGTATAGTGAAACAGGGCCTGGATCCCTCTTCTGGAGCCCTCTGTATTATGTGTTCAGCCTTGCTCTGCCCAGCCTACACTGGCCTCATCTGAAGGCAGATGAGAACCAGGAAGATTGTGTGCCCTCTGCTACTTCTCTGATTAGAAATTTTCTCGTATGGCGCCACGGGGCATGTGTCTGTAGCCTTTTGACAACACCATTGCTTTTCTACTGGCCAGCACAGGGGTTGGTAGACACCAATTACCACTGAGGAATAAATGAAAGAAACCTACCACTTGAATAAGAGTAGACAGCCGGTGAAAATATAATCACCAGAAGATGACAGGGAACCCTAGATCAAGGGTTAGCAATAAAAAGGAAGTTCCGTGGGATAGTTTTAGAGAAATTCCCTTTTTTGTTTGAGGAATAATTTACATTGCAGTAAGTAATAATGGAGATATCTGTTGATCATAGGCTCTGGTGGGCCCCAGTATGTGCTCATGTTCTTTCACCTAGAGATTATATGGGTGTAAAACACTAACCGGGAAGATAGTGGTGAAGGAGCAAGCTATTTCCTTGTCCCTTCCATTTACTACTGACTTATTGTGAGATGTTCTGTGACTCCAAATCAATAAAGGAGAACTCAGGAGTCCATTCACTTACATAACAAATAGTAAGAGAATTTAGTTCTCTATTATGGCCATTTTAGGGGGAGATACAAGAGAGAAGGGGAGGGAGGGAGAAAGAGAAACATGTAGGTGACAAAAGAGAAGATACTATCTCCCAAGGGGGGAGGGGGTGGGGTGAAGAGGAGGCAGGAAGGACCAAAAGGTGAGGAGGGAGAGCAGGAAGGAGTTTATGACCACGTGGCTACGGAGGCTGATGGATTCAGAGCTATTTCCAGACCTCACTGGACACCCACCCCTTAATTTAGAAGGATCTGTCATGCACATAAATCAGCATCTCTTTGTCCCTCCTCTCAAAGGATCACTAGTGGTGGAAAATATCAGGACAACTTATTTTATCCTAATCTGGTCTCTGTAGCCTTCTCCTGATGTTTTACCTTTTAGAAATCTATGGTCTGCAGGAAAAGAGAGGGGGGGAGCATTCTAGAGAAGGAAACACATAGGATAGAGAGAAAATGTCTAGAAATCCTCTAGAATGATGAACAGCCCTGGGGTCAAGGGCCAGACTCCAATAGCCTCTTCAAAGTGCTGGTTTTTCAAACATGTAGATACAGAGCTTAGATTGGTGGTTACCAGAGGGGAAAGGGGGCAGGGAGGAGGGCGAAAGGGCTGACTGCGCACATGTGTGTAGTGATGGATGAGAATTAGTCTTTGGGTGGTGAACATGATGTAATCTACACAGAAATCGAAATATAATGACATACACTTGAAATTTAAAAAAAAGAGGTAAAGATAAGACATAATTTCTATAAAAAAGTATATTCCCTTCTGGCCCTTTAGGACATTTTCAAAGGCTAGTTATCAAAAAAAGAGTCAATAGAATTAAACAAAAGTTTATACCATTAAGCTCCAGTGAGGAAAAGATTCAATTCAGAGGAGCACAAAAATATATGTATAGAGAATAAAATAAATTAAATCTACAACTTAATCTTCAAACAGGACACACTTAGTTAAATTTTCTAAGTATGTGATACGATAGGATTTAAAGTCATTTGGTTTAAATTCATAATTAAAGAAATAAAGATACCACATTTATTAAGTAAGTAAATAAAGTGCTGGTTTTTGCCATGCTTCCCCACAGGTAAATTCTTTGGCTTTGGGATTTCCCAGTTGGAGCATGACTCCAGAAGTTGTTGTGCTAAATCCTATCCTCAAGGGGATCCAGCAGCAGAGATCCCATTTCTGCCTGGTCTCCCCACATTCACAGCCCCATGAAGGCTCAAGTCAGAATGCAGCTCCCCCAGATGCCTTGATCCCCAATGTCCTCACAAGACTGTGATAATTTACCAGTGCCCCGCTGCTCAGCAGAATCACAAAGATAATAAAACTCTCAAACCAGCCGTGTTTCACTATTTGGTAGCAGGTTTTCCGCAGGTTCCACCAAGTGATCCAGGAAGACTTTCTCTTGACCATAGCACAGCATGGGAAGCAGCAACTTAGGACTGCAAGGAATGAGCAGCAGCACTCTCATTAGAGTCTGTAGGCCCAACTCTTCACCCCTCCCTTTATGCCCGCCCTGCCCATCCTGTGCCTTTGCAATTCCTCCCAATAAAGAGGTGGAGTCTTTTTCCAACCCTTTGAATCCGGGCTCAGCCATGTGACTTGATTTGGCCAATGGAGCAGAGTGAGAGTCACAACATGCCAGCTCTCAGCCTGGGCTTTGAGAGGCCTTTCATATTTCCACTTGCTTTCCTGCACCAGCTCCACAAGAAAACCATACTTGGGCCATCCCACTGGTTCCAGGAGGAGGAGGCTAGACATGTGGTGCAGAGCCAAGTTGCCCAGTTAAGCTCATGCTAGAGTAGCTAGTCATTACCACTCACACGAATAAAGCCAGCCAAGATCAACAGAGATAAGCAACCTAGATGAGCAGAATCATGCAGACACATGTTTATTATTGTATGCCACTGAGGTTTTATGTTTGTTTATCACGCAGCAATTATTTTGGCAAAAGTAAACAGTGTTCTAAGGATTGCAAGGAACGAGGTGAGGATGGACATAGGCTTTGTGAACCACCCAAACCACACGTGGAAGAATGTGATCAGTTGTTGAGGTGTTTACACATAGCTGAGCACTTGATCTCAACGCACGCAAGCCTGAAGCATAAACCACATCACCCTTTTCAACTGTCTCCTCCTCCCCTCCTCCAAATTCTGATTACAACATTCCACTCCTTTCCTCACCATCTTCCTAAGCCACAGTGAGGTCTCCTCAGTCTGCCCCTTGCCTTGCTCTATCTTTCAGAACATCAGTAGGTTAATTTCCCTAAAAGGATGCTTTTTTCCATCTTTCATTACACTCCTCCCTTCTTCTACCCACCTTGCTTCTCCATCTCCACTGTTGACATCCTGTGCACACCTTAAGGACCAGTCCAAATAAAGTCAGGAGAACAGTAATCTCTCCCTAGCCTGACTCTGACCCCGTGGGCAGCTTTGGGGTTGTCAAACAACCTGGAATGAGTTTGAAATGAATTCTTGGTGTTCTTTCTGAGACCAGTCTAGTCTCAAACTTACAGTGAAACTTTTAATTTTTAGATTCATTCATTTAAGTTATTTTTTTGTCTATCTATCTATGAACATTCGTTGAGTCCATAATCTTGGCCAGATTCTATTCTCACACTAGAGATACAATATTGATGAAGTCACTGTCTTTGTTTTTAAGAACTTCACGGGAGAGACAGACACAAATAAATTCCCACAATAAACATAGGGAATAATGAAGGCAATTAAAAAGGAACCATTACATTCACTCAAGGAATCAGGAAAGGCTGCATTTATTGATTGCTTATTATGTGCCAGATACTCTTCTAAATGATGTGCATTCACTCATTTAATACCCACAGCAACTCTTTGCAGTAGATACTATTATAATACCTATTTTATAAATGAGGCACAGAGAGATTAAGTAAATTGAACAAGTCACACAGCAAGTAAATAGAGAAGTCAGAATTTGAGCTCAGGCAGTCTGGCTCCAGATTTGAAGCTCCTAACTACAATGCTATCCTGCTTCCAGAGAAAAATCTTGAGGGATGAGTTGAGGGCCTGGCAGGAGCTCCAATCAACCCTCGAACTTATGGTCAAATTCTTTTGGTGTTTGACCTCAAGTGCATGATGACAATGGGTATACTGGGGACTATACAAAGTGACAGACATATTTCTACTCTAGTTGTTGGGCTGTGTAAGCTGAGCCCACCAGAATCAAGAATTTCCTGAAATCCCCTTTGCCTGGACCTGCAAATGGCCCCAAGAATCTATGGGTGTTCCCTCTTCACTTTTTCCTCCAGTAGAAGCAGAAAGAAGGCATCTTCAAAACCACGGAATTTCAAAGGATAAGAGAATCCCATCCAAATATTCTATAAACTGGATGCAAGAACACTGCCACTTACCTTTGGGCAAACATCTCCCTGGGGTTTTTTTGGGAACCATTTCAGGTACCTGCCCAAAGGGATCCTGTGGATCAATGGTGCTACATTCTGAGAACACACTGGTAGCATCAGACTTCTGCACATCAGAACAAAGGAAAGGGGGATCATTTACCAAGACTCTCTCTCACCTTGGTCATACCTAATACCTAATTGTACGACTTTCAGAGGATAAAGCTAGCTAGGCAAAGCCTTCTAGGTATGAGAGGTATCTGGAAAGTGTCACTCTTGTTGGGCCCTTTTCTAAATGCTCTGACCAGACCTGACTTCAGGGAGAATTCTCTAACTGCTCTCCCCTGGCTGAAGAAAAGCAAGGTGGATGACAACACAGTACCTCAACATTTTCTCCCTAAAAGTCATACTTCTGATCATCTGCCTAAGCCCAAATAGGGAGGAAGCCAGGTGATGAGAAGAAGGCTACTTCACTGGGACTGTAATTTTCAGCTACCTTAACTCCTGGAGTAACAGGTCCAGACCAGTGCCAGATTTTGCCCTCCAGGAGACATTTTGGCAACATCTAGAAACATTTCTTATTTCACAACTGGGGGGTGCTATTGGCATCTAGTGAGTAGAGGCTATGGATGCTGCTAAACATCCTGCAGTACACAGAAGAGCCTACCACAACAAAATTATCCTGCCGCAAATCTCACAGGAGAGAGGTTGAGAAACCCTGGCCTAGGCCTTTTCTTAAGATTTGATTCCAGCAGTTTGCTCTGCACTAATCTTGATACTTTTCCATAGTGGCCGTCTCAGAGAAGGTGTATGGATGAGCCACATATTCCTTCTGGGGACACCCTGGGAAAATTACCTTTCGGGAATTTTGTTCTAACAGAGAAGCACCATCTTCAGAGAACACGTCAATTTCCACACTTTGAACTCCTGGGCTGCTGGACTTCTTGGTCTCCTGGTGGAGTTCAGAGGCCTGACACAAAGAAGCCCACAGTAGAATTAATATTGCTCCTGGACATCTCTCTTGAGATGAAACAAGTTTGAATTCTATTTGGTTTTCTGTTTGTCATGAAAATTGTAGCATTATTACTCTATTTACTTTTTAAAACTGCTCCAGGAAAAACTCAACATAAAATAATTCTGGGAAAACTACTATAGGAAAAAGATAATGAAACTTACTCAGAAGTCATATAATTAAAACAATATGGTTTTGGTCCAAAATTCACCAAATAATTCAGAGGTGAAACTTACTGTATCCTTTCAGCTCAATGGCTAAATAATAAATTATTTGATAAATGGTACCGATATAATTAGCTATCCCTGAAGAAATACTACAATGCCAGTATACAGTAAAAATAAAATCCATAATCATTTGATAATCCAATATAAAAGTAGAGGAGTAAAAATGTTAGAAGAATCATTTGGAAAATAAATTTTTTATCCTTTGGGGTACAGAAGGTGGCTTGGCAAAATAGAAAACCAAAAGGCATAAAGAAAAATATATCACTACATAAAAATGAAAAATAAATTTTGTCTGATGACTTGCAGGGATATCCAAGAAGGATGTTTGAAGTCATCCTAAAATCTGTGTGAGGGTTCCTGTGAATCTGACATTGTAAGGTCATAATTTAAGAACACTTCTCCCTTTTGAACACATGCAATGACATACACACACGCACGCACGCACAAGCATACACACAAAAAACAGCTAAACATATCTGTGGACCAGACACAGAACAGAAATATAAAGTAGTAACCATTTAAAGCACATAGCAAGTAATGGTGACTAAAGTGCCCATGTGAGGGAAGGAACCACAGCTATGTCCAAGGTTTGAAACTTTGGGCTGGGTTGAAGTTCTCTCACTTAAGAGAGAAAGCCAAAACAAGCTGTGGCCAATGCTTGGAATTACAATTATACAAAGCAGTGTACATAAGGAGGCAGGAGGAAGTACAGACTCAGAAACAGGACCTGAGCAAAGGTGCCCACTGGTTCAGTGACTGGATGTGCACTATGTCTCGTATCACTATTAGACAAGAATCTCAAGTTGGCAATATAAGACTTGGTTCTGAAATGGATGCCCTAGAAAGGTCTATTAAAGACATGACAGAACTTGGATTGCAAAGAGGTTGACAGATCCTTCCACTAAAGGTGAGCTTTCAGACTAACACTGCAAAATATATAAATAAACAAAGATAAAATAGTGGTCCCTGAAACTTAACTACTGGGAGGTGAATTTACATAAGGACAAAAGAGAAATTAACATAATAATCTGAAAGTGTTATTAAAATTAATAAGTTTAGGATTTAATAAAAAAGATATATGGAGTTTCACTTGATGACAGTGTAAGAAGCTCCATGGACAAGTTCCCCATGGACATGAAATAAGCATAAGCAGTGAAAAATATTTTTAAAAACTCATTTAAAGTCTCTGGAAATAGTCCTAAGGGCATACAGTAAATGAAGAAACATGTATTCAAGAAAATCCACAAAATTCAGTAATAAAAACAGGAGTCCATGGCACTTGAGGCATGATCAGCTCTATCGCTCCCCACTCCTCAACTCAGTTTCATGGAAGCCCCACTCTAGGCGGATGTGACCAAAAAGATGGGGCTCCCTCTACTCTCAGCTCCCAATCCAGGGATACGTATCTCACCAGGAGGTGTAGGTCACCAGCTTGTCTCATCCCCTTCAACTCTGAGTTGAAGAGGCTAAATTCCTGGTGAATGTGGCCAAGAATTTGTGTTCGCTCTTTCAATTCAGCCTCTATTGGTAGGACAGAGACTCTGCTTCAGGTTCAACAGCTTGAGAATACTGGGGCCCTGATCACCCTCACCCCAGGTAGTTTGTATGGCGGAGATTCCATGCATGAAGAGGGCAACTGAGAAAATGAGAGGCTACTGCTCCTCTGAGTATCTGGAGCAGTGGCTAAGATATTTGCCCAGGGTGGGAAGCAATCCATAAGAAACAAGAGCTCTGAAACCCTCCACAAAAGAACTGACTTTATTTGAAACACAAATTGGGGAAGTTCTAGCCTAAAGGTGCTCTTGAAAACAAAGGAGATTTTGATGGTAAGCAAATAAGAAGAGACCCATAGCTTTTCTTCATTAAAGGCAACAAATAAACCACAGGTTAGCAAGTTCACCACAGAGAACCACGGAAAGAGATAGCCAGGAAGAGTCTTCCCAGGGTTGGAACAAATCTCAAAGGCTAGCCTTAAAAGTACTCCTTCCCGAATTTAATTAGATCAGACTATGGAGCAGTTAATGCCCTGTCGCATTGTCAAAAACAACAGAGTAATTAGTGGAGCCTAAAAACTGAGTGTGATAGCAAATGAGGAAGACAGATTAACAGAGAGATCATGGAAAGACATAATCAAAGGGAGCCCTGCTAAAACAACTGTCACTGTGGAGTGACTGTGTACAAACCCAAGACTGTGCCCTCTGAGGAGTGACATCCATGACGTGTGGGGGGTGGAGGGCAGGAAGAGCAGGGAATAGATTTCACTAAAATAGTCTACCCAAGTCACCAAACAAATAAGCCCCAGAGAGGAGAGAAGGGAATCAGTTCCAGAGCTGCTACAATAAATTAGTTAAAATGATCAATTTTTAACAAAAATTATGAAACATGCAAGAAACAGGAAAATGTGATCCATACACAGGAAAAAAGCAGGCAACAGAAACTGCCTGTGAGAGGGTCTAGATGTCAGAGTTAACAAAGAATGCAAAGCAGTCATTATAAATATTTCTAGAAAACAAAAAAATAATATTTAGAAAAGGATGCTATGATGACAATGTATAATCAAATAGAAATGTCAACTAAAAGAGAGAAATTATTTTAGAAAATGGAAATTCTGGAGTTGAAATGTACAATAACTGAAATGAAAAATTCACTAGAGGGAGCAGGAGTACATTTGAACTGGCAGGACGAAGAAACAGTGAACTTGAAGAGGGATCAATAGAGATTATGCAATCCAAAGAGCCCACAGAAAAAAGAAGAAAGAATACTTAAAAGAAACTCAGAGGTATGTGGGACACCCTTAAACACATCAACCAGAAAGATAGGAGGGAGAAAGAGGAGCAGAAAAAAAATACTCAAAGAAATAAACTTCCCAAATAAGACTGAAAATATTAATCAACACATCTAAGAAGCTCACAGAATTCAAAGTAGGATGAACACAAAGAGATCCACACCTAGACACATCATAGCAAAATTGCTGAAAGCCAAAGATAAAATCTTGAAAGTAGCGAGAGGAAAGTGGCTCATCCATATACTAGGGGACTCCAATGAAATTAAGAGCTGATTTCTCATTAGAAACAATGGAGACTAGAAGGCAAAGTGCTGAAATTGAAAAACAAATGTGAACCAAGATTCTTTTAAATTATTTTTATTTTTATTTTCTTTTGCAGAGGAAGACTCACCCTGAGCTAACATCTGTGCCAATCTTCCTCCATTTTGTTTGTGGGTCACCGCCACAGCATGGCTGATGGGTGATGCAGGTCTGCTCCTGGGATCTGAACCTGCAAACCTGGGCCGCCGAACCACAGCGTGCTGAACTTAACCACTAGGCCACGGGGCCAGCCCTGACAAATGTGAACTAAGATTTCAATATCCAGCAAAACCATCTTCCAAAAAATGAAGACACGGGGCCAGCCCTGTGGCCAAGTGGTTAAGTTTGTGTGCTCTGCTTCAGTGGCCCAGGGTTTCAACCATTTGGATCCTGGGCATGGACATGGCACCACTCATCAAGCCATGCTGAGATGGCATCCCACATAGCACAACCAGAAGGACCTACGACTAGAACGTACAACTATGTACTGGGGGGCTTTGGGGAAAAGAAGAAGAAAAAAAAAGATTGGCAACAGATGTTAGTTCAGGTGCCAATCTTTAAAAAAAAAAAAAAAAGAAGGTGAAATAAAGACTTCCCAGATAAACAAAAATGGAGAATTCTTTGCCAGCTGACCCACCTTACAAAAAATACTAAAGGAGATCCTTCAGGCTGAAAGCAAATGACCTTAAATGGTAATAAAAGTCCACAGAAAACAGCAAAGAGCACAGGTAAAGGTAAGTATGCAATTATAAAAGATGATATAAATGCATATTTCTTTTCCTTTCTTCTCTTAACAGATTTCAAAAGAAATTGTGTAAAACAATATGTTTAAAATTAATGCATTGTTAGGCACATAACATATAGAAATAAAACGTATTTGATAACACCAGCACAAAAGAGTGAGTGGGAGAAAAGTTGTATTAGAGTAAGGAAATGACACCTGAAGTTTATTCAAATTCACAAAAACAAACGAAGGGAGCCACAAATGATAAACAAGAAAATTAATAAAATAAACTCTATAAATATATACTTGCTTTCTTTTCCTTTCTCAGCTTCTTTAGTAGACATATAATTCTACAAAGCAATAATGCTAAAAATATTATTGGGCTTTTAACATACAGACATGTAATACATACAATAAAAAATAGTACAAAATGGAGGAGAGGTAATAGAGCTTTATATGAGTAATGTTTCTGTATCTCACTGGAATTAAGTCAGTATAGACCAGACATCACTTCTAATAAGTTAGATGTATATGGTAGTTCCCAGAGCAACCAATAAGAAAATAACTCAAAAATACTGTGAAAAAATTGTGAAAGGAATTAAGATGTTACACTAGAAAATATTCAAATAATGCAAAATAAGGCAGTAAAGAGGAAAAGAGGAATAAAAACATGAGACATATCAAAAACAAAAAGCAAAATATTAGAAGTAAATAAACCAGATTGATAATAATATTAAATGTGAATGGGTTAAACAGTCTAACCAAAAGGCAGAAATTGTCAGACTGGATAAGAAAACAAGATCCAATTATGTATTGTCTACAGGAGACACATTTTAGATTTAGAGATACAAATAGTTTGAAAGCAAAAGGATGAGAAAAGATACCATGCAAGGAACAACCATAGGAAAGCTAGACTGACTAT